AGGCTGAGAGCAAGAATACACCTGTTCCATGTGCATTCATGTTGGTGTGCTTGCATGCAATCCATGCACGCACGCAAATGCTTGAGCGCACGTGCACACACACACCCGCACACACGTGTGCGGCGCGCACGCGCACGCATGCATGAACACACACAAGCACGCGCGCATGCAAATTGCAGCCCACTTACCCGACAGCAGCGCGACCAGCTGTACGATGAAGCCGATCCCAATGCGGGTTGTGATCTTGACGGGGCGTCCAAACTTGAGGGCCATGGGCACGATCACCATGTCCCACCTGGGTTGAGATCATCATGGGCGTGCCACTCAACGTCCAGTACTACCGGCAAGCATAAAAGGAAGATCAGCGCAGGCGTTCAGGCAGCAGCCGCAGCAGCAGCACAAACGGTATCACAGGCACCAGCAGATGCAGCAGCAGCATATGCAAGCGCGGCCAGCGGCCTCACAGCGGGATGGTGAGCAACACGCCAAAGGTGTTGGCGAAGGAAATGGAGGAGGCGGGTATCTTGAAGTTGGAGTTGCCCAGGCGGCGGTCCATGACGTCACCGGGGTAGGGCAGCAGGCTGAATATGGGGTCGTACGCCATCTTGGGGGCCAAGCATATAGCGTAGTTCATGTGTTAGTGTATGACCACGTACGTAGTAGGTGAGACCCAGAGCACTTGACACACTGCCAGGTCAATTAGGAGCTTCTATCACTACTGCAACCTGCACATGACCCAGGTGCTGCTTGCAGATGAAAGGAGCATCTGCCTCCACCACCCCCACGCCCACACAACAGCAACTGGCCCCCACTAAACAAGGGCTAGCGCAAGCAATGGGGGCTCGCACCTGCCAGATGATGACTGTCAGGAACACGGGCATGAGGCTCATGAAGGACTTGGTCTCCTCCACCTCCGTCAGGCTGACCTGGTAGCCCCGGCGCCCGCCAGCGGCAGCGGCCGCAGTAGCGGGGCTGCGTATGGCGGCCTTGTCCAGGGCGGCCATGCGCTTGGTGTGGGCCATCCTGAACTTCACATTGGAGTTCTCGCCGGGCAAAGGCTCTGCAGAGGCGAGACAAAATGTTTGAAAAAATCAAGCACCGAGCACATCAAGATATGGAGCTCTGATATCGCGCAAGCACTGCTGAAAGCACTGCTTCGGCAGCGAGCTACCTTGAAACAGGCCCAGGCAGACAAACTCTTCTGCCGCTTGCGCTTGAATCTGCTTGCCGATTGGTGATCGCCCTGCTGTGCTTGCCACCCACCGTAGAGCTCCGCCACATCAGCGGGCGCTGTCAGCTTGCGGTTGACCCAGGCGCCCCTCAGAACCATCCAGATGCGGAAGAAGGGGGAACCCTCCGGCGGCACAAGGGTGTAGCTGCAAAGGGGTGTGTGGGCGGCACAGTGCGTGGGTGTGAATCCACGAGTAGCTGGGCAGGAGGAAGCACGTGTTGTAAAGACTGGCTGCAAAGAGGGCTCAATCACGCAGCTAAAAGCTCAGGGTGCGGCAAGAACACTCTGCATGACAGCTGGGGCTCGTTCTGCCGCAGTGCCCCCATGCCCTGATATGCCTTGTACTGAAGGTTTGGATTGGAACAAAGCATTAGTGTTTTGACTGGTGATACAGTAATTGGGTATACAACCCTGGGCTCTCACAGCTTCATGAGAGCGCCGACGATGAAGAGGAGGATAGCGGCGCCCATGGCAGCCGTGGGGATGCCAAAGCCGACACCATAGCTGGCGGTGGTGGGGGTAAAAGGGGCAAGTGTGTGTTGTCAGTTGCAACAAAGAGATGCGCACAACTGCAGAGAGGCCATTGCATGCGAGATCCAATGGGTCGCGGGAATCAGACCGGCAGAGCAGGCTGGTCTCCTGATAATACATACACCCTCTGTGGCCCACACTTTGCACACGCCTCTAGCAGGGCGGGCTCAAGTCCCAGTAATGGGCTCACCCTTTGTTCTCCTGTACGGGCACCACCACCAGGGTAGCCACCAGCGACCCTACATGACAAGGGGCAAGAGAGTTCATTGTGCAGCGCTCCATCAGCCAGGCGGCGCGTGGCGCAAGGGCTGCCAGTGGGGCAAGGACGCTTGTCATGATGAGAGCTTGACGCAGTGCGCTTGCGCCGCCTGGACATGCGTTTCTGATTTGTGGCGATTTCACAGCAATCCGTCACTACGGACGCCCCACCAATGTTGATGGCGAAGTAGAACCTGTTGGCAACGGTTGCGGCGCGGGAGGAGATCATTAGCAAAGACAATGATGAGCCTCAGCTGAGCAACGGTGTGCACGGGTTGTCTAGTGTGCAACCATGACCGCCACCGCCGCATAGGCCAAGCCCCTCTCCCGCTGGATCCGCCTTGCGCCCCTCGCGCACCAGTTGAAGAATGAGCTCCTCCAGCCCCGCTCCCGCTTGCTGTTCTCGCGGAACTGGATGATCACATTTGAGAGCCGGGGGCAGCAACAAGACTCAGGGCAAAAGGCCAAAAATTGAGCAGAACTGGTCAGAGGGCCCGGGACGCTGCCGAGGGTGCCAGCAAGCCCCAGAGGCGTTTAAGAGCAAACAACTCCACTCAATCATACGCAGTGCAGGCCCCGCCGCTTGACTGCGTGCTGAGTGGGACTGCTCGGCTATTGTGAAATTAGCTGGGCTTATGTTTTTGCCACCAGGTTGAGTTGTAGCAGGATCACACGGCGTTGTTTGTCAGCCGGCTCTGCAACACACCACGCATTGTCCGCTGTGTGCGCAGTGCGTCCCGCCGCACCTGGTCCCCCCCGAAGCTGCTGACGCAGGGCTTGATGCCGCCAGACCCCAGCGCCACCAGGTACCTTCAGGGCGGGTTGCGGGCGGGGGGGCGGTGTTAGTGCTGACAGGCCACACCACACGAGTGGGGAAGGAAGAGCGTGCCCAGGCACTGGGCAGGCAGGCTTCATGTGGACATGCGGCAACGAACACGCATGTGTGAGACAGGATACGAGGTGGCCCGAATCACGGGTGTCGCCTGCTCACAGGAATGCCCAGAACATGCCGCGCGTGGGGCCAAAGTCGCCGCTGGCCGGGGCCGCCTGGTAGTTTGGCCTCATGCTGGGGATGAGGTTGACGGCCGTGACACCGCCCATGCCGATCAGGTCTGGGGGATGTGGTGTGGTTCAGCCAGAGCATAGTGCGTAGGCGTGAGGGACATGAAGCTGGGCGATGCAGTGAGCGCAAGGCAGGGCGCCCTGCTGCGTCCAGGAAGCGGGCGGCTCTGCTTCAAGAAATTCCTCAACCCCTGTGCGCGTCTCACATCAGGCCGCACCCCGCAGGTCAATGCCACTCACAGACAATGGAGAAGATCAGGATGACCCAAAACCTGCGGAGTGGGAGTTAGGAAGCAATATCCAGATCAACCTCTGCATGTGCTCTGCCAGGCACGGCCAAACGCAACAGCGCGTTGCTCGTCAATGTGAGCACGCCTAGTGCTGCAGGTCTGACCAAGCCCTGTGCAAGGCAAACTTCCAGCACACGCTTGCTGTGCTGTTTTTGGTGTTCAACGCGACGCGCATACACCCCTCCAACGCCTGCTACGCGCCTGCCCAGGTATGAATCCGCCAGGAAGGCGCCGAGGAGGGGGGTCAGGTACACAGTGCCCTTCCAGGCCTGCAGCAGCTGGCTGGCCTGGTCGGCGGGGTAGCCTACGGCCGGGAACGCAGGGAGTCGGGTGGGCTGTGATGAGTGACGCCGTTACCTTCGGTCAGCGCAGCACGCACAGCGTGCATGCCCCCCCCCCTGGTGTATGCTCAGCTGCGCGGCTTGCCCCTTGCATCTGGACCATCTTGACTCTCATGTACATGCCGCAGGAGGCAGGCGGCGCTGATGCGCCTGCATTGCTTTCCATGCGGGGCTGCCATGCGGCTGCAGTTGCTCAAACGAAATGGGGTCAATCAGCCCCTGTTCCCAGAGTTTTGCCCGTTCCCCAAGTTTTAACCCCCGGCCGTGTGTCTGTAGTGCTGGCGCTCACCCATGTACTGCTTCAGGTACAGCCCCATGTTGGTCTGCAGCCCATCTGCGTTTTGTGCGATCAAAGCGAAGGGCAGCATAGGGTGGGTGGCGGCGGAGGAGATAGAAATGGCAGGGAAGTGGCCTGCAGCGGCGCAGCCTGCTGCTTCGTCTGAAACCGCATGGCACGTCGTCGCCGCTGTCAGCCAGGGCGCATCACGCGAGATCGGGACAAGGCTGGGACGTGGGACAACGGATTGAGGCGGCTCAGTGTTTTGAGGCGTTCTGCGCGGCGGGGCGGAGGGGCCCGGGGCGCTCACAATAGGCCAGGCGCTCGCAGATCTCATTGCCTGCGAGGTGATGAGAGCATGGCGAGGGGGATTGCCGCCACAGCTTGAGTGTGAGCATGCATGACCCGTCGGTGGTTGGTGGGGAGATATTTAACAGCTACCTCCCAGATTCAGTGAATAGTACAGGAAAGGGTCGGGGATAACCACCATGCTGCCCAAAAGCGGATTGCCAAGTGCACATGCTCTTGCTGCCCATGTGCGGGAGGGTGAGTCACTCAGCGAACGACGCATCCGCGCGGCCAGAAACAGACGTTTGCCCTGGTGACCTGGCATGCAAACTGCATGAAGACCCACCCAGGATACAACTGCATGCAGCCGCCACACGCGTCTTCCTGCCGGGGACGGGGTCGTCGAACGGATCGTCCACCGTCTTCTGCTCGAAGGGCTGCTCCATCTCCGCAACGTTCATATCATCTTGAAGAGGCATCTTTGCTGGTCACAAAGTACACTGCGCTGCCGCACAAGGACTTTCTTGGGCGGGTTGCCGAGTTGGACCACTCCGCGGCAGCGGTGACCAAATATCAAAAACAGGCCCACGAGCTTCGACAAGCTACAAATTAAAGTCTTAAATGTGTTTGATAAGCCGCTGCGCAGGTTCGGAGGAACGGCAGAGGAACAACACATGCATCAGTGACTCAGGGACGGAGGCAGGGTGTGCTCGTAACTTGAGCCCAGGTGGTGTGCGTAAGGAGGGCGCAAGTTTCTGCAGCGCGCCACTGCCGGCTGCATCAGCAAAATCCAATGGTTGATTTAGGCTCTCTTACCATTCCCCGTTATGTGTGCGGGGCGGTCCACCACAGTCTGCACCACGGCGGGTTCCAGCAGGGCGGCTGCTGAATCGTGCTCAGCTTTCGTAAACAGGACTCACCCCTGCTTGTGGTTCTGCGACTTGGGCACGCGTTCTTGTTCAAAATCCGAACATATTCACCTGAAAATTATCTGGATTTGGCCTTTGTGTGGCGTGTTTGGGCCGTTTCAGTGTCGTGCTTTACTCCCTGTTGTGCAGCCAGGGGCGAATCGTCACTGAATAGCCTGGAGCTGCAAGTTGTGCTTGTAGTGGCATGCAATTACGCATGAACCGTGTAATCAGACATTTTGTGCATCGCAGCACAAACCTCGGCCAACGTGGGCGCGAGACATACGGCAGCACTCGGCCGTCCGCTTCGTCACAGCAACAACCAGGTTAGTTCCCCTCTCTCGGTGCTTGCTCCATCTCCCCCAGCAGGGTTGCCAGCAGCACGTTTCACATATCAAGTAAGCCTAAATCTGGCCCAAGCAGGGTGTGGATGTTTGAAAGCATGGTTGCATGTATTTCTGCCACACATATCAGATCACTTTCATCAGCCATAAATACACGTGCTGGACTTCTTTATATGATTAAAAGAGCTTACAGATGCGCGCATGTGTAAGGCTGAGACCCATTGTATAATTCAGGATGTGCGCATTCAAACAGGAACACGCAATGCAATGCAAGCAACAGTGCACCAGTTGATGAAAAATGCTCCTTCTGTCCCTCCCTTGTGTCTCCTGCTTGATCTTGAAAAGTGGAGAGCTCCTGCAATCGACGTGCACCAAACAGAGCGCCTGCAATGCTGCATCAGGTCACGGCCGAGCACCAGGTCCAAGCAACTGAGGTCAGAGCAGGCAAGATCAGATCAGAATGTGGGCAGCAGTGGCGGTTGTTGAGCGCCATGTGCCGTGCAGGGGCTCTGCACAATGAATGCCTTTGCCGTGGGGCCAGAGCATGTGGAGCCAGGCTCCTTAATGAGTCGGCTACCGCCTGGCATGGCACTGTGCGGCAAGCTCTCTGCCTTTGCACACTGGGGGATTTCTGATATGATGACAAGGGTCAGGGTCAGGGGAAAGGATCATTTATCAGTCACATTCCAATGTGCAGATTGCCCCTGCATTTGTCAAGGGTTGCACCCTGGCATCTGTTCGTTGTGCGCACCTGCAGACCCATCTGCAGTCGGCTAGTCAAATGGACCCCGCTGGACCACACCTAGCAGCGAGCACCTCAAGCAACCTGCCGACCTCGCTCTGTCTGCGCCGCCGTCCTCACAAGGCACGCTTGCCCGAGGGACGCACTCCTCGGCCGTCTGCTCAAGGCTCGCCAAACGCGGCCGGAGGCCGCACCTCCAGCCCACTGCAGCGGTGGCCATCCTTAGGGGCGCTGCGCGCCAAGGAGACCGAAGAGCGGGCACGCAGCTCGCTGGCGCGGCTGCTGCGGCTGGCGACGCTGGGCCAGGCGCGCGACACATTGGCCAGGTCACTGTGGAGCCTGGTCTCCTTGTTGAAGGGATCCTGGTGTGTTTGTGTTGAGGGGGTGGAGTGATGAGAATGTCATGCAGCAATCACAGCTCTTTGATTGTATATAATGGGCGTTTAATCATTTGGGGGCAAGTGACTGAGGTGGGGTTGCCAGAGAATACGTTGGGCCCCACCCGGTGTGGGAGGAGGGAGGCGGCAGCCGCCATACATGCAAAGCCAGTGGGACGCCCACCTGCCAATTGGTGAGCATTCATTGCATGCAGGGCCCAGCTCGCGCCCTGCATACGAGGGGCGTGCATTGCATCTCAACCGGCATTGCCTGCCAGCCCCCACCTTCGCATCATCCAGCACTGGCTTCTCCTGGAAGTTCCACGTCACCAACAAAAAGGCGATATAGCCAAGTGCCAAGATGACAGCATTCAGGAAGAAGTAATAGTCGTAGTGACCAAACATGGGGTTGTTGGCCACCCAGAGGTCGTCTGTGTGTGTAAGGGGCCAGGTGTGTTTGCACAACACGTGGACGGGGCCGTTTGTACAGGTGAGATCTTGGCATAGGGTCACCCCTACAGGCACGGGCCCAGTCCATCAACAGCACCCAGCATTCCACATCAAACAGTGCACTAGTGAAGAGGGCACCAGGCCTCCAGCCACGCTCACTGGGGAAGGCGGCGGCGACGATTATGTTGAGTGCGCTGGCGAGGTAGGTGCCTATCGCAACAGTCAGGAGGTAGAAGGAAGCCCCCAGGGCGCGCATGCCCTCAGACACCTGCGTGAAGAACATCTCAAGCACGCCTGGAGTGAGGTGGGGGTGGGAGCGTTTGTGCGTGGGACGCTGCAGACGCGAAGAGGGTGAAGGGGGCGAGGGCCCTATTTCTCATGCACAAAGGTGCCCTGGAATTTTAGCGCCCCGTTTTCACCCTCACGCTCCAGGCCAGCAGGATGTTTGACTGCCCAGCACGCATCACTGCCACAGAAAACGCGAGTCAGCAAGGGCCATGCACTCACGCCCTCCGAAGATGCTCACCGACGTTGGTGAATGTCTCAGCTGCCCCCACTAGGAAGTAGGGGATGAACTGCCACCAGATGCTGCATGCAGCAATCCAGTGGGGCATTTGGAGTGGATACGCGGAAACCTCTGCAGCCATTCTATTCGTTGATGCAGGCAGCACCGACACACTGCCAAACGGGCCGTCACCACAGAGTGCTCGAGCTCTGGCAAGCAAATCTTTCCGTCCATACCCCACCCAGAAACAGACACCTCGCTTCAACGCAGTTGTCTGTGCCCCTCGAACCGTAATCAACGGCAAGCTGCGCCCCTGTCGTAAAAGCGCTGGCCCACAGCACCCACGCCTTCCTTCCGCCCTGGCCGTACCTCATGGGCTGCGTGAACTCCTCTGACGTGTAGTCCGCGTCGGGGTTGGCTGCCACGGCCGCGTTCCACCTGTCCACCAGGCCGA